AACTCAGCAAAGAAAGGAAGAAGTGCCATGATGATAAAGATCAAGAGACACTAAGGGATCGTGTGTCCCGTTTTTAAAGATCTATCCAACAAATTCAGCTGGGCAGAGAAAAATAGGATGCTAATAACACAAGGAAATCAATCTCAGTACAACTTGAAGGGGTGAATATATCAGAGAAACATGAGACACTAAACAGGAAAACTCAACGCTGTGTGGTCTTATCCATTTTCCCTCAGTGAGAAGCAATGAAGAGCATGAGAAGATTTCCTAATAAAGGTTTATTTTCCATCAACCCATGTCCTACTCTATAAGAAAAAAAGGATGAATCTCAACCTCTCCTTTTTATGCGTTTCACTTCTTGTTTATGTCGGAAATGGCTCGCCCTAGAGTTAGCAGTTGGCTGTTTATGCATTTTAAGTATAATACACTACACTGTCCAAAAATGAAAGAAATTAAGAAAATTAAAACACAAAGATATCAACCCTGCCCCCACTGTGTTGTTCTATATTTGTGTGTGTGGATATAAACATTTATTTTAACGTGTGTTTCATATAACTGCATTGTGTTTTTTCCGGTTAATACGTCAGTAAAGGTGTGCTATTTTGATACCTGTCTCTATATCTGAGTGTTTCTGTACGAGTGGATCTACTCTGTTAACTGGTGACGTAGTGCTTTGTAGAGGGCTGCCCATACAGCCCGTAGAAATCTGCATGTCTGTGCGTCTGTGAGGCATCTATCCAGTCCCTCACTGCCAAGCCTTGCATGGACGGACCTCCAGAGGCCAGGCCAGGGGGAGGGGGGTAGTCTTGGGTGCTGACCCAGGGGAAGGAGCCCGAGCGGGGGTATGGGGGATGACTGCGGTGTCCCGACACCGAGGGCACTCCAGAGCAGTAGCAGTTATCCATTGTACACACTAGGATCTTCCGGCCACCGTACTGAGGCAGCATGGCCTGTTGGGAGGAGTGTGAGGAGCTGCTGCCTCCAGGAGGAAAGTGCGAGGAACCGAACACGGAGCCTGAATGGTGGTTGGTCAGCGAGCTACTTCCACTTCCTGTCCCACTACTCTCGCTGATATGAGGCGGGCCACAGGGACCGACAGGCTGCTGATTGGTAGACTGGCCTTCCCCAGAGGCAGAGCCTGAGCTCAGGTAGGGCTGCTTGGCTAATGATGAAGAAGAAGAAGATGAGGAGTCCTTGAAACCAGGAGCGGCAGCTTTTCCAACGTTCCCACTTCCCTCTGGAAAAGCAGTGGAATGGTTCCGTTTCTCTGCTCCAGAGCTAGAGCTCTGACCACTGGGATAGGCAGGAACAGACTGCAGGAAGGTTGAGGGAGGGTTGAGAGGAGCTGAAAAAGAAGAGAAAAGGTGTGAAATATGAGGAGATAAGTGATGATTAAAACAAAAACATGTTCGCGGCTGTCATGTCCTGCATTGAAACCTTTTAAGTTAAGTGTGTTTAACCGCATTTGAAATCCTACCTTCCAGTGTTCTCTTCAAGCTCTTCTCTCTTTTGGAGATTTCAGAAAGGAAAAGCTTGGAGTTCAAATTCCCAACTTTGTAAGGAGGGAGACTGCTGCCCACACATGCCTGAGACCTGCAGCAAGCGTCAGGAGACATGCAAAAGTCAAGATGAGTCTGCCTGGAAACATCGTCTGAATATCATAGAACCCTAGGCAAGATGCATTTTAAGAATCCTGTAATGACAACCTTTCTCTCACCTGTCTGTGAGTATTTTAACAGGTTTGGTGTTTTTCATGAAGCTCAGTTCTTCTGCCTTACTGAAGGCCGTGTGGATAGAGCTCAGCAGTTTCTGAGCTTCATGGCGCTGCTCTCCCAGAGCCAAAACCTGGGCTGCATTCTCCTGGCAGAACCGAGCATGAGCCCGATCCAGAGCCTCCAGTGTCCGACCAAGGTCCTCCTCCAGGAGCTGGTGCATCCGCTGGTACTGCAGACGCACCTCATCTTTCAGCTCACACACCCTGTCCTGTACAGAGGGACACACAAACATCAATTTACTGAAAATTAAGCTTGCATTACATAACACCGCGAGGACTCTCTGAAAGCTGTGTTTACGCCCACAGAGCAGACTGCAAAAACATACCTCCACCACACACTTATCGGAGTCGAGTTTGCAAAGCTGCTCTTCGATCTCCTGTGCTCGTTCCTCCACGCGCTCCTGCTGTCTCAATAGGCTTTGCTGTGTGAGGTGAGAAACAGACAGAGAAAAGAAAGAAGGTCTTAACCTTTGAGAAGATGTGACCTCAGTTAGCCACTAGCATCCCCTCCCCATGCCAGAGATATTAGGAGCCGGGAGCTGGCTAATTTAGTCTCCATCCAGCACACAATCCCTGTGGGGGAGGAAGGAGGGGATGCTGTCATGGTAACCAACAGCTATTTTGTGTTTGCATTAGCGAGTGAGGACTAATGACAGGGGAGCGAGCAGAGATAGATAAATGGGCATACAGAGGCTGTCCTCTCTCTGCTCTCCCCTTAGTGCACCTCCTCTCCACTGCCTCCTACTTCTTCTGCTTTCTAAAACATGCAGTCACACAGTAGAGGCTGCTCTGTGAGCAATGCAGTGTTGTGGCATCAACAGTCTTTCTGGGATGATGATGATGGCATGTGCAGAACAGCAGATGCCTGCTCAGACCAAACTAAGATGTCAGCTGGTGGCCAAAACACACAAATCAATAAAACACAATAAACAGAATCACCAATCCCTTAATGCGCCCTACACTGCAAGTCTGAAAGTAAAAATATCAGTGACACAGATTTACTAATCCTTAATGTGAATATTCAGTGTGAAATATGAACAATCCTACCTCAACATTTAATGATAGGAAAGCATATTGAGGAGATGGAGCAAAATAAATCGATTAATCAATATATGACTGCTGCAGTGAGAGAAAGACAAACGTGCGTATTGAATTTCATGGTAATCAAACTTATATTTGTCAAGACATTTTACTCAAAAACAAAAATGTCAACCTCATGGCCAGAGGAAAAGTCAAGGGATCGCCAGAGTCTAAACAATTCAACCTCTGGAGGCCATGAATGCTTGTACGGGGTTTCACAGCAATCCATCTACTAGCTGTTGAGATACTTGGTTCAAAATGGTGGACTGACTAACAACTGGTGGTGTGGCTTAAAAAAAAAAAAAAAAAATTCTGTCACTAATCCCTTAAATCAATATTTTATTCACAACCTGAAGGTCTATTCATATATCATCGCTTCTATTTAATCATTCCAGCCAAACAGAGGCAGATTTTATCTTGCATACCTCTGGGCCTCTGCAGCACATGGCTGGGAACCACTGCCCTAGATATCTCTCTCTCTCCCTCACACACACACAGTCGGTGAGGTTAGATCCAGGACTGAGACCTGGTTGTACTGACTGACTGATTGACTGAGTTAGGCGTTGAGCAGAAGCCAGGGGAAAAACAGGGTTGAAGCTTCCCAGAAGGGGAACCAAATGCACGGGATATCTTTGGGGGAGAGGGGGGTGTAAAAAGGCAAGGGCGCTCTTTAGCTGTCATTTCACCACAGTGTCTTTTCCATCAAAGTCACCAGAGCAGGAGAGTAGAGCCAGGGGGAAGGTCGGACCTTGCCGGGAGCGGCGGGCGGGTGGTGTGAGTGAGTGAGGTGAATTTGGAGGGGGCTGACAGAGGTGAAGAGCAGAGGAGTGGCTCTTTGGAGGGAGGGGGTTTACATTCATTTGATCACAGTCAACATGGAGGACGCATTAGTTATTACCATGAGTAAAATCACATTTTATTGCAGTATATGGTGTTCACTGTGTAAAAGAGCACCTCTGCTCTTTATTTAACAATAACAAAACTGAAGTACAAAAAGTATTAGCATCAAAATATACCTCAAGTACCGAAAGGAAAAGTATTCCTTATGCAGAATGGCACATTTCATATTACTGGATTATGATTACTCGTTCATCACTTTAATGTTACAGCTGGTTAAGGTGGAACTAATGTTAAGTACCTGATATATTTGCCTCTAAAAGAAGCCCATATTATCAGTATCTACGTATATTCTGGTCAACAGAAATGCTAAAGATACAGTACTTCAGATCTAATTTAGAAACAATGCTGCCACTGTAATTCGAGTGACACAGGATTTCTTATATTTTTAATTAAAAAGCCCAGGAATGACTTAAACTACTTATTAGTTGTTTTGCAATTTATAGACCAAAACAACTCATTTACAGAGGATATAGTAATCACATTAACCTATAAGAAATTAATCAATCACAGTCCTACTTTTGATGATGTCTTGAATTTGTTTTTAGAGACTTGTGGCTATATAACGGTGCTACATCTGCATTTTCTTCTTACTTATGACCTTGCTTTCATTTGTGGCAAACAAAAATCAGCCATTCTATCAACGCCACTGATTTTTCAACTGTAAAATGTCCCACTCAAAACATGTTCCATTCTTTAACAATTCAAATGTAAGACATGCTTATTAAAAATATATCATGTTCATGCTAAAAATGAGCAAAACCTGATATTACAGGATTATTTTTAGTCATTACACAGTGTGATTATAGATCAAGCAGAAGATGTAGATGTAAAAAATTCTGGTAATACAGCTTTTAACTTCAGACCAGGCCCCTTTTTATGCTCTCTTCTGTGCCTGAGGTGACCAACAAAGCTGAGTCATAGCATCACCAACAGGAAATACATGACACAGCTGACACCTAGACAGGGTGTAGGGTGAACTACATGAGTCAGTCAGCAGTGAAGCCTTCTTGGTTCTCCCTCTGACTAAACTGCCCTGTCACACGACCCTTAACAAAACATTAAAAAGTA